TGGTCTACTATTATTAAATTTGATATTCGGCTTCCCTCAATTGAATCAGGAACAGTAGCACAACACTGTCTGACACGGTGCCGGAACATGAGGCGCTCAGTGGGAAAGCACTGAAAGAAAACAAAACAGCAAACTGGCCATAGAGGCTCGGACGCTGAGATTGCCTCTGAGGCTTTGGCCATGCTGTCAAGAGGCCAGGCCCTGGAGAAAGGCATCATGAGCCCTTTACGCCCCTGGTTTGCGTACTGCCCTCCAGCCATGTGGTGGCAATCCAAACTGTGAACTGAAAACTCCGTTTTGCCAGCACCAGGCAGGTCAGGAGCGGCCAGCCCCTGGAGGACGGCATGCTTGGAAAAGCAGGCTCAGGGATGAAGACTCCCGACCACGTGGATTGACGCTGTGGCTGCAGCCGTGGGCCCCAGCACAGGCACAGCTGTGAGGACGGTGCCAGGCTGGGCGGCTGGTCATTCTGCTGTGCACGGGTTGCTGTGGAGTCAGAGCACGCTCTCTGGTAGTTACGTCCATCTAAAGCTCCAGTGGGCGGGCGCACAGCGAGTCCGTGAATGGTTGTGGTGCTAGCCAGAGAGCTGTACATCCCCAGCAATTCAAATCCAGCAGTGACTCTGATAGAGAAAGACGGGCCATCGCCTCCTCAGAGTCTCCTCGGGAGCCTGCCTGAGGGTCACTGTGGTGTTTCAGATGACCTTCCAAGCCATGGAGTTTGACTTTGGCACATGGATGGGTATGTTCATGCAAATAGGGTGTGTTAGTCTATCCACAAGGGGATTGGTTTGTATTCCTATTAAATTGGGTGGATTCTTTGGCAGAAATTTGGGAATTCCACCAGCAGCAAAGCGTCAGCAGAAAATGCAGCATGTGTCCTTTAGGGCCAAAGATTCCTGCACCACTCTGACTGGGGCCTGGACCAGGAGCTGCAGCAGCCACTGCAAAGAACTAGAGACCCAGTGTGAGACAGAACTGACCTTGGACAGCTGTCCCACAGAACCAGAGGCAGAGGGCTTCACCCAAGCTTGCAGGAGGACCAGGGGAGCAGACACCATACTTACTAGGCCCAAGAGAGCTTAGTAATCTTGCTCTTCAGCACTCTGGAGGTCTTTTCACGTTTCATTGTAATATTTTGCTTTATCCTTCCACCCCACCCTTTGAAATCTTCTGTTCAGCTCCTTAACTTCTTGATTTCTTCCCTTTGCTTTGGCCTCTCAGCGTTGTAGTGCAATATTCAGAGTTGGACATGATCAAAGATGACAGAAGAATTGATGCCTTTGTGGTGCTGGAGTACTCAACACACTATGAACCGCCAAGAGAACTAACAGGTATGTCTTCTTGTTGCCATTACTAAGTGCTGTCCAGTCGCTTGAATAGTCTTGGAGAGGCTGAAAGCGAGCCGCTCCTTGGAGGCAAGGATTTTGTGACTCCGTCTCACATCCTTTGGGCACGTTGCCGGGAGGGACCAGTTCTTGGAGGACATCATGCCTGGAAGGGCTGAGGGACAGTGCAGGAGAGGGAGACCCTGCATGAGATGGACGGGCACAACGCCTGGGGTCAGACACTGAGACTGGCTCAGGGTAGCAGGGGTCAGCACTTGTGCACAAGGTTACTACGAGGTGTGGCCGATGGCACACAGCAGGACAAGCAGTAAGATCGATGTTGGAATCAGAAGTGCGTGCAGTAACGTGGACCCATGTGTGACCTTCCAGGTGGTTTTGTACTTGGATGTTGTTGATGGGGACAGTGGCCCTCTGTGGAGGTGGCAGGGGTCAGAGTTGGGCATCTCCATGCTGTCCTTACTCATTCCAGTGACTCAACTGAACTGACCCAATGGAGGGAGTGACACATTCACGGTTCCTGGTGAGTGGCCAACATGCATGGCTGGGCAGGCACCAGCAGGTGGACATGCTGCCCCTGGTACCATACCTGCAGCCCCTGGTCTGTTCACCCCACTGTAAATGCAAGCATTTGGTCTTTTTAGATGGAATCACATCCTGCGTGGCCTGTGTCCAACTCTTCTGCCTGGCCAGCTGCAGGCCCGTATGGCTGTGAGTTTCCAGGGTTCCCCCATGTGGACACTACGGTTGATCTCTGCCAGTGGAAGGGTAGGGAGGAGACTTTCAGCTGGGGACAACTATCAACAAAGCTGCTGTGAACATTTGCCAGCAGGCTTGTATGTGAACGTGTTTTCACTTCTCTGGGGTCCAGGAAGAGAGAAAACAGTTCCAGCTCTGTGTAAACCACAGTGTTTATTTAGAAAGTGTGATCCCCAAGGCCTCACAGACGGGCTGGATGCCTGCCTCAGCCCACACCCTGGAGGCTGCAGAGCAGTCACGGCCAAGGCAACGGAGACGGCCACGTGTCTGGGCCACAGACACACAGAACCCACCCCACGGCTGACGGAAAGGAAGGTGGGGGTTCCGGGCTGCCGACGGCCTCCCTTGTTCTCAGCTCAAAACCAGTGAAGCTTCTGGAACAGCTTCTCCAAAGAAAGACTGCAGAGGTGACTTTCTGAGGACTGCTCCCTGTCCCCACCATGCAGGACTTCACATCAAGCAGGGGACACAGAGGCAGAGCTGAGGTCTTGTCTTCCTATCACCTGAAGCTGAGCTGGTCCTCTGGCCTCCTCGAGAGCCCCCCACATGGAGGCACTCCCGAGCCACAGGCCCTGGGTCGGGGTGGGGCCGAGGACTCTGGGGCCCCCTCTCCTGTACGGGTGAGGCCTGCCTCACGTGCAGCAGCTGCCAGCAAGCTGGGCAGGAGCGCTGGCCGTGGGGACTGAGGGGCACTGTCAGAGGGGCCTGTCCCTGCTCTGCTCAGTCTGACCTGGAGTCACGGAGAGTCCCAGCAGGGCACCAGGACGAGCCGGGGGCGCGGGAAGCAGCTGATCGCCTCTCCACGCCAGTCCTCTCCACACCAGTCCCATGTGCATGGGGCCCACTGAGCCCTTCCTAGTGGTGCGTCCGTCCTGCTCAGAGCTGCACTTGCCCTGTGGGGGCCACCCCCACCTGAGGCACTAAGGGGAGGGCCAGCCGGAGGGTGATGGGCAGTGACCAGAGGAGCTCACACCTCTGTACACACTGGCTGTGCCTGAAGCTGGGTGCCCTGGGAGCCCCAGGGGCAGAGGTCAGGGCAGACAGTGGTTAAGCATTCAAGAATGCAAAAGCTGACAGCTCTGAGGTGGGAGGTCCATCGGCTGCCCCCTCTGGCAGCGGCGTCCGTGGGGCTGTGGAAGCCAGGCAGGGTACGAGGGGCTTCTCAGCCGAAGGCCTGGCCTTCACTGGGCAGAGGGGGACCACCAGATCCATGCCCTCAAACAAGGACTTGTTGCTGACTGCAGGGGTCCATGGACAGTGTTTGGGGCCAGCGACGGACTCTGGGCCTCTGTCCAGGGTGTCTGACCTGGGCCCTAACCCCTGAGAACCTGCCAGGCCCTTCTCGGCCTCACAAGTGCTCTCCTGACCTTGACATGTGTGCCCTGGGGGAGCAGTGCCCGCAGGATGAAGCAGGGATGGACTCAGAGTCTGTACGGGCAGCTGGCTGCCTGAGAAGGGGGCTGTGTCAGTCAGCAGGTCGTGGGTGCAGGCTCGGGCGTCCTGGGGCACAGCGGGGCCTGGCTCGGCTGGGAGTCCCCAGGGTGGGGGCTGGGGCCGGCAGGAAGCTTCAAAGTGTCTGAGAATCTGAAGGACGAGATGGGGAGGCTGGGGAGGGTCCCTATGCTCCTCGGGGAACCTCGGGGGGAGCTGTGTCCCCCCCAGAGCCCTCCCCACAGACTGTCCAGATCAAAGGGCACCAGTTCTAGCCATGGTCCACCCGTAGAAGCCAAGCCAGCTGTGGATACCATACGTGTCCTCCTTTTCACGGTCAGCACACCAGAGTGTGTCCCTTGATGCCCAAGCCTACCATGCCCAGTCCCCGCAGAGGCTGATGGGAGGAATGGTACCCCACAGCTGCTCACCTTGGTGGCCTTGCTGGCCACGGGCCCAGGGCTGCCTGTACCGAGTGCCTGGAGCCGTGGCCGGGCCAGGAGGAGCATATGCTCTTGGGACAGGAGGTCAGCACTGCCCAGGGCAGACAGGGCACACAGGGCTCTCTGTGGGCAGAGGGGGCAGACTGGATCACACACTCCACCTGCCCCCACCTTGGCCTCCATGACCACCCCCCGGGTAGCAGGAAGTCAGCATGGGGGCTGCTGGCCTCTGCCCCTGCTCTACACACAAACCTCACAGTCACAGATGCACACGCACAAGCGTTCTCACACACACACCCCCACGAGCACACACGTATTGTCATATACATGCGTATACCCACAGCACGTGTTCATACACGTGTATATCCCACCACACACGTGTTCTTACACTCATACGCCTATAAACACACACGTTCTCACACATGTGTATACCCATGAGCAAACACGTGTGTGAGCAGACGAGCATGTACACACATGAACACATGCCCACACATGCAGCCACGCGTGTGAATGCTGGCAGGCCAAGCCCTGTGGACCCACATGCACACACCCCTCAGTTCAGGGCCGCCGCCAGGTCACAGGCACCTGACTGTGGAATTCTGCTCAGAATCAGCCTGTTGAGTGTGTCACTTTCACATGTGTGGGGCCCAGCACGGTAACTCCCACCAGCTCTGAGACAGGACCCAGGCGCTGTGCGTGGACAGCGGGTGGTTCTGGCCCGGTCGTGCTGCGCCAGCGGAGTCCCTCAGAGTGTGACAGACCACGTGCAGGTGTCCGACACACGGACAGACGTGACTCAGAGTCAGCCTTACACACAGAACGCTGCTGACACGTCAACTGCCTAAGTACGCACACACGTACACACACGTGCTCACTCACGTTCACCCCACATGTGTGCATGTATAGACATGGTCAAACATGTGTGCACATGTATACCCCACACGTGCACACACATGTACAGACACGTTCACACACGTGCTCACTCACGTTCACCCCACATGTGTGCATGTATAGACATGGTCAAACATGTGTGCACATGTATACCCCACACGTGCACACACATGTACAGACACGTTCACACACGTGCTCACTCACGTTCACCCCACATGTGTGCATGTACAGACATGGTCAAACATGTGTGCACATGTATACCCCACACGTGCACACACATGTACAGACACGTTCACACACGTGCTCACTCGCGTTCACACCCCACACGTTCAGACATGTGCATGCAGTCACACAGCCACGTTCACACCCCATGTTAGCATGTACACACGCACACGTGTGCATGCACGCGTACCACACATTCACACCCCCAGATATGCACACATACAGAACGTTCACACAGCCACACAGGTGCGTGCACGTGTGCACATGTTCACACACCCCCCCGCTGGTGCATGCACACATGTTCCCACACGTGCAGACACACGCACACAAACACGCCCCCTCCCATGAGGCCCTCACCATCTGCTCGCACTCCGGGGTCCCGTCCAGCTGGTGGGTCAGCAGCTCCAGCACCACCTCACAGTTGAGCCGCCCGCACCTATGCAGAGCGACAGTTGGGCCAGGGGTCAGCCACGGGTGACCGTGCTGCACTGGGGACCAGCCAGGGTGCGGGAGCTGGGGGTATCCCCTCCCTCCCTTACGGGGACGGACCACGGTCCACTCACTCCTTGAGAAAGCGCTGGGCCTCCTCTCGGCTCAGGAAAGCACGGGGTCCCCGCGTCACAGCTCTCACGAGGCTGGCCTCCTGCCGGCAGTCACTGAGAGCCATGGACTCGACCCTGCAGGACAGACGGCTGGATGGACAGGTGGGTCGGGAGGGGTCCAGGAGGACATGATCCCTGCTACGCTGCAGATCCCTCCCACAACAGTGGAGAAAGACCGAAACAGGGGTGTCCAGAGGAAAAAAAGAGACAAGGAGACAAGGCTAAAAGCAGCCCCCACCCACAGTCCATGACTGAGCTGACCATCTGCCAAGGAGCCCCTACAGTAAGGATGGGTCCAGGCAGGGGCTGCCCCTCAACAAGACCACACCCCTCACCTCTCAGCCAACTCCCCGGGCTCCTGGCTGGCCCCCGAGTGCCCATCACCAACACAGCCACTGCTGCAGTCAGAGGCCCTGCTCTGGCCACCGTTCTGAGAAGACCCTGAGCTGGGACTGCTGTCTGGTTCTTCCCAGCCGCCGCCGGGCTGTCCTGGCTGGTGTCTCACGGCTGGAAGGGGCAGAAGGTTGGATGTAAACAGGTCTCCCCCGCCCAGTGCCCAGTCCCCAGAGGTAGGGACGTGTCTCATCCCATGCTGCAGGAAGCCCCCTTGATCCTGGGGCCACAGAAGGGGACAGCCAGCCCCCAACGAGGCACCCAAGTACCTCGGGCTCCAGCACTGAGGCCAGGGAGCTGCTTCTCAGGAGGAGGGTGGTCGTGGTTGGCTGAGGGTGTCACAGCCGGCTGGTAGGTGCTGACCCCCAACTCAGGCCTCTGGGCACCAGCTTGCTCCTGCCCAGGACGCATGGCGTTTGCCACCACCTCTGCAGCCTTCTGGATGGTGGAGAGGAAGGCTTCACCCGCAGAGCCTGTGCCGGGAGAAGAGGGGAAAAGAAGGAGCCAGCTGTACAACCCAGCAGGCCATGCCCAGGTGGACAGAGGGGACAAGGCAGGCCAGCGTGCCTGGAGAGCAGGAGCTGGCCATCCTCTGGCCTCTGCATGGCACCCTAGAGGACACAGGGGACCCGTTCTGTCCCATCTTGCACTCACCTTTGTGGCCTCTCTCCTGGCTGTAGCCAAAGCCCTGGAGACCACTATGGGGTCGGGGCTGGGAGCCCATGCCTGGGGGGAGGGCCAAGGGTCAGTGCTCAGCCTGCCCCCAGCCAGGACGCAGAGCCCAGGAAGGTGGAGTGGGAGAAAATGCTCTGAGCCACCCCAAGGGGCACCTCACTCACCGGCAGGGGCCAGTGGCCTGCAGGCCCGGGGTACAGGCAACGGTGATTCGGTGTCTGAGAACAGGGCACTTCCCAAGTCCTAGAAGGAATGCAGAGGCCTTGGGGCTGCCCATTCTTCTGGCTCTGCAGCTGCCCAGCTGGCAATGGGGCTCTGGGTGGGGTCACCTGGGGGACTCACCTGAGCTGCCAGCCGCACCTTCTGATACAAGCTGTTTCCGTGGAGCGGATCAGGCGGCCCGGAGAAGACTGCGGACAGAAGGGGCTGCACTGAGGCAAGCGATGGGCCCAGGGCAGCACACCCCTCAGCCTGGGCCTGCGGCTGCCCGCGTGGACCCTGGGGCTGGCTGTGTCAGGGCCGCACCTGTGGCCTCCTGGATGAAGGCAGAGTTGCGCTTGAGGATGAGGATGAAGGACGAGGAGCCATGGCTACACAGGTAGAGCAGGATCTTCAGAACCTGAGGGTTCACATGGCGAGGGGGAGGGTCATACGGCGAGGGGGAGGGCCGCACACCGTGAGGCCAAGGGCCACAGCAGCCCTATCTCCCACCGCGGTCAGTGGTCAGCATGCCCTGCCACCCCCACACCGCCCCACAGCACCTTGAGCTTCACGTGGCCGGAGCTGCTCCGTAGACGCAGCAGGAGGTACTCCACCAGGCACTGGCTGCTCCCCAGGGACTCGTGGGAGATGTCTGGGCGCACAGGTTAGGGAAGGGCAGCAGAGGTATGAGGTGACCTCTCCCAGGGCGTTAGGCTGCCCTTCATGTGTTCTGAGGACACCATCACCACAAGGTCACAGCTGTCCCCACCCACTCCTGACCACAAGGCTGCAGCCCCTCCTGACCAGCCTGGGGTGGCTACAGAACCAGTAACCTCAGGACCACACCCCTCTTGGTCCTATGAGCAAGGATACTGGCAATCTCTTCAAACAGGTAACCAGGACACGGAATGTCGTCGTCCGACGTGCCTTTCAGAAGGATGGGGAGCTGGAAAGCAAAGAACCTGACCGAGAAGAGCACATACAAGAGGGAACCAGAGCCTATGCCCAGGCCGAGCTGTCCAGTGCTCGGGGCTCTCAACACCGGCTCCAGGGCTGGACTGGGGTGCAGACACGGTCCCCAGGGAGCCACAGAGGGTGCAGGTAAGCTGGCTGTGGTTATCCAGGGTGGAGAGAGGTGCAGCCAGCAGTCCCCACCTAGAAACACCAGGCCCTCATGGCACCGTCTGTTGTAGGGGCAGCAGACACAAGCCAGGTCCCTGACCCGACTCCCAGCTTTCTGGGGCCCAATGGCTCCACTTCTGGAAAAGACATGTGGGTGTGTGTACCCACTGACACCAGGCACCAGTACACCGGGAGCCAGTCCACGTGGCAGACCGAAGCCTCGGGGCTTAGAACACTGGGACTTTGTACAAACGCTCCCAGGACTTTCCTTTTTGGTCTTCAAGCACAGAGGTGCTTGTTCATAGGAAACCACAGATGTCACTACAGCACCTAAACCAGGGAGCCTACAGGCAGGTGGGGTTGGGCGGCTAGGAGTGGTGAGGACGTGGACTGCCGTGTCCTGAGGCGACCCACGACAAGGTGCCCGGCACTGCTACCCTGCTGGACTAACCTACCTGACCTGGAAGGAGGAGGAAGTCCACATGGACCACACCACAAGCCCACACACGCGGTGGGAGTGGAGGGTCCACCAGGTGGGCTCCCAGGTACAGGACCCGGGACGAATCAGGTGTGCACCGCCCGCATTTCTCTCTCTCTAGACTGGGTCCCGGCCCCAGGGCACAAAACACGAGTAAGAATACAAGGGACACACGGACCCGGTATGTCCTGCAGCTCCTGCTCTGCCCACTAAGGTCCTCAGGACAAGGGCCCTGCCTACCTGATAGGGGAGGGGGGGTCCCAGACTTCAGAGGACGCGGACCCTCGATGGGGGCACAGTTGAGAGGCTGAGCGGAGGAGACTGGGGCCAAGGGACGGGGGGCCAGGCACTGGAGGGGGCGCGGAAAGGAACCGAGTAGGGGGACTGGGAGGCTGGACACCGGGGCGAGGACGGAGGGCGAGGCCTGGACAGGCTTCCGAGGGCGCTGTCCGGGGCTCGGATGCTCCAGACCCAACGAGACCTAGAGGGTGATCCGGGCCCGGAGGCTGGGGGACGCGTCGACCCCGGGGCAGGCTGGACGCACGGAGGGAAGGCAATGGCCACGCCCGGCGGAGGGCCGTGGCTGTGCTTGAAGCGGGGAGCAGGACCCCCGCTCACTCACCCGATGCAAGAATCTCAGCCGGTCCCGGAGCGGCGGCTCTGCTGCGGCCATGACGCCTGGCACCTCCGAGTCTCGCTGCTTCCGCCAGGCCGACGCCGGTCCAATCACCGTGCGGGGCGGGCACGGTTGGCCAATCGCGCGCTACTGGAAGGTAAACAAAGCATAAGCCAATCCAAAGTCCCAGAGTAATGACAAACAAGGACTTTAGCCAATCACAAGACCCGAGGCGCCGGAAGCGGTTCCGGGGAGGGCGGGACTGGAGAAGCCAGGACGGAAGCGAGAGGGTCGCAGGCGCCGGAAGCGCGCGGGCCCAAGATGGCAGCGCCCAGGGCCGCCCGGGCTCGCGCCGCATGTCGGTGAACGGGACGGTGTGGGGTCGCGTGCGGGGCCGCCTCCGCGCCTTCCCCGAGCGCCTGGCGGCCTGCGGGGCCGAGGTGAGGAGCCGCGAGCGGGGTGGGGCGCGCGGGACGGAGGGCGAGGGCGCGAGTCCAGTGCAGTTAGGGCCGTACCGGACGGAGAGCAGCAGGACGGGGCCCAGGACCCGCAGTGCCGGCGAGGACGGCGGGGCGGGGGCGCAGGGGGGCACGCGGGGAGCGGCGGGCCGGGTCGGGGGCTGGAGGGACACCGTGGCCCGCGCCCGTCCCCTCTGCAGGCCGCGGCCTACGGCAGGTGCGTGCAGGCCTCCACTGCCCCGGGCGGCCGCCTGCGGAAGGACCTCTGCGCCCAGGAGTTCGAGGCCCTGCGGAGCTGCTTCGCTGCCGCGGTAGGTGGGCGCCGGCGGCCCGAACGGGCGGTGTGGGTGCCCGAGCCGCCGGGAGGACGAGGCCGGGAGGACGCGGCCCGGCGGGAGGACGAGGCCCGGCCGGGAGCTGGCCACCCCTCGCGCTCACCCTGCCTTTGAGCCCCGCTGATCCCGGACTCTGGCGACCCTGGAGGCTGTCGCTCCGTGTGTCCGAGAAGGGGTGACCCCAAGGTCGAACAGCTTTGTGGGGTGGCTTGGTGCTGCGGGCGCGCCCTGTGCAGACCCTGACAGTGTCCACTGCGTGGCCCTGTGGTTCAGTTTTCTTACAGAGCCTCATCTAATCTGGAAACACCCTTTTCTGAGAAAATGCCCTTTTTTTTCAGGCCAGGAGGAGCGCGAAGGGGGGCTGCTAGGAGGGCGGCGCCCCAGCAGCAGGTGCCGTGTGGGGTCCATCAGCACCGAGCCGGCCGGTGCCCGCCATGGCAGCCCCCCAGGGCTGGAAGGAGCAGGGGCTCCTCGGTTCCCCGCAGGGAACATCTGGGACAGACAGGATGAATTTGCCTGCTGTACACAGACATCATTGCAAATAAAATGTATTTGACCTGAAAGCAAGGATGGACACGGCTCATCTCGCTGAGCGCAGGGGGCGGGCTGGGGAAGCAGCTCAGTGACACCGTGAGGCCCAGACACAGCAGTGACTGACAGCAGCCTGTCCACTGCGACCGTGGTCAGAGCCCTCGGGCATGGCCGTGCCCTCGGGAATTAAGGTGAGCCTGGCAAACGTGGCCGTGCTGTGCACTACCTGGGAGCTGTAGGGGAAGCTTCCGCACCCTCCCAGCCACTCCAGGGCCCAGGTGCTCATTTCCATCTTAGAAATGCAAGTGGATGGCGAGCTCTGGTGGCTTAGTGGCAAGAAGCTGCACTGCAATAACAGAGGTGCACGGTTCAAATCCACCAGATGCTCTGCTGGAGAAGGAGGAACAGTCTCCTCCTGTACCAGTCAGATCTCATTTGATGGTACACTCACACACAAAAAATACTAAAATAAATTTTTTTAAAAAAAAAAAAAAAGAAAGAAATGTGGGTGAAGCACAAGGACCCCTACTCTCTGAGCCCTGCCCCTCAGCGTGGCCGGCCCTGTCCCCTCCCACAGCAGTCACTGAGTCCTGTGCAGCGGCCTACGTCAGAGCACTCCCCTGACGGGGCCCAGTGAGGAGTTGGGAGACGGCAGGCTGTGAGTCCAGCTCTTAGGTTCCAGGCCCTTACTGGCCTACCCCTGAACTCTATTTTGTAACTGACCCCTTGAAGCCCTGATTGCTGGAGGCTTCTGGGCAGCCTCCAACAGCAGCAGTCTGTGTCCCAGTGTTCAGTTCCCTTGGATCTACCCACCGGCGGCAACAGCGTGCTCCGGGCCAGCAGCACTGTGCTAACTTCATCAAGAGGCCGGGCAGTGGGGCTTTCTGATGAAAGAGGTTCCATGAGTCAGGCGGGGCTGGGACAGGCTGGGAATCAACCCAGAATGAACGCCCACTCGTGCCGTAGTGTTCTCGTATTCAAAATGGCTTTCCTAGGTCACTGCCCTCGGCTGCCACACGGCTGGTCAGGAACCTGCAGAGGATGGGGTCACTCTATCAGTGGGATTGGCTAGGTTAGCCATTCCATCAGGTTTAAATTGAGCGGATCCATTCAGTGGCCAGAATTTAGGAATCTCAGTACCAGCACGAAAGAAGTAGAGAGTGCAGCATACATCCTTCAAGGCCAGAGGTTCCTGTGCCGGTCAGCCCAGGGCCTCCAGGTGAGCAGCAAGAGAGAACTGGAGAAAGAGCTGACCTGGGGCTGCTGCCCGGGGAGCCAGAGCCGGGGGCCTTCGCCCAAGCTCACGAGGGACTGGCTGGGAGGCGTCCTTATTGGCAGAGCTAAGAGAGCTTTGTAATACTGGCCTAAAGCCGCAAGGCTGAAGGACCTGTGGGCATATTTTAGAAGCTGTCCTGACCAAGAAATCGTATCCTGCTGCAACCTGAGTTGTAACCTGTTAACTCCCCTGATAAACCCCATAATCACGTTTCTGTGAGGTCTGTGTAGCTACTGCAGTGGATGTCAGACTCGAAGCGGTGGGACTAGTGCTTGAATTAGTAGGACTAGGGGAGTATGGGGGATGTCACCCCGTGGGAGTAGGTTTTGTGGATGCTGCAGATTCAGTCACCACACTGTCCTTGCTCTTTCTACCCCTTGGGTAACAGGAACTGGGGCTAGTGGTTGTGCAGAGGGGTCTGGTGGGGATCATGCCATCGGGCAGAAGCAGCTGGGGTTATTCTTAAGCAGGACAAAAGTCGAGCCCCACTGGAATAGTGTGTACACGCTGGGCTGTTCCTGAAGGTCAGTGGTTCAGAGCCACTAGCTGCTCTGTTGACCCAGTGAACATGGGCTTGGCGTGGACTCAACATCCTTGAGGTTGAGATGGTTTATTACTAAAGGTGGAGGCGGCCTTTGCTGAATTTGACGTTCCTGAACTGCAGTGGCCTCATCTCAAAACCAGGTCTCTGCAGAGGAGACCGAGCTACGATGAGGGGACACTGGAGTCAGTGGACATATTTTAGGTAAAAAGATTTAAGGTTTGGGGTATGTGATCCCTGTGAGGATGGAGTGGGCGCACACCCAGGGTCCCAACGAGCACGTGTGTGAAAACAATCTCCTGCACGCAGGGCAGCTGTGATAGGGGAGGTTCTGTGCCACCTCTGACAGAAAGGTGACCCCCAGCCTCTCCCATAGGACCCTCCCTTGCTTCAGTTCCCTCTCCCCGAAAGTGGCCTAGTAAAGACCTTGCTGAGACGTCACCAGCAGAAACAGGACCTTTTTATTATTTTTTTTTTTTTTTTGGTGGTCGTCTTGATGTTGGCTACCAATGCTGCTTTTATTCACTAAAAATACATGGATAATTTTCACCTGGAAACACACAGGACAGCCAGAGAGGTGGCAGGCCCAGGACACTGTTCCGAGGGGCTGGGGCAGTGCTTACTGGAGAAGGTGGACCCTGTTCAGAGGACACATGATGGGATTGTGAGGAAAGTGGTGACGTGTTCAGTGGCTGAGAACGACCTGGGGTCACGTTCATGGGGGTGAGGCACCGACTGTATGACACACAGCCATTTGCCTTGAGCGGGGTTGCCCCGAGTCCGGGTAAACAGGTCCCAGTGGAACTCAGGACGAGATGGCCCTCTTTGGGACAGGAAGACCAAGCTGTCCCCAGAGCATTGGAGGAATCTTCTAGTTAAGGCCACAGAGTTAGGAGGGCTGGCCAACAGTATGGCAGAGACCAGTCTGGGGACAAGGTCTCCAGCAGGAACTGCAGACTGGAGACCACGTGGGGTTTGAAAGCAGAGGCCAGTCTCAGGCCCTGCCCCCAGAGGGCGCTCACCCCTCCTCTAAGGCCACCTGCACCTGCTTCACCTGCCGGCTCAGCACCACCTGCACTGCCCCCTGCGCTGCCAGGTGCAGCTGGGCCTCCAGGGCGCCACGCAGGTCATTGGCCCCCTGTCCCAGCAGAGGGTGGGGGCTGAGGAGGATGTCATCCTGACCCTGGTCGGAGGCGAGACCCCGCCGCCGCCGCCGCAGGTCAGAGCCTGCCTGCACCTTCAGGTCATGGTTGTGCTTGGCGTTGTCCAGCTTCTGGGCATCTGGGGCAACTGCCCTGGGTCCCAGCTCTCCCTCCTGCTTGTTGACATGCCCTGCTGCCTCTCCAAGCAGCACCTCCCTGCCGGCGTCTGGGCGATGCCCCTGGACCAACACCTGGCCCTGTCTCCCATCAGAGGCGGCCTGGTGCTCAGGCACGACCGGGGCCTGTGGGCCGGCCCCTCCTTCGCGCTGGTGGGCCAGGCTGGCTGCAAGCCCGAGGTCTCGACTCCCCTGCCGGACCTCCACTCCGTCAGCTTGGGGGGCTGCCCCCTCCGCTGGTTTCAGTCCTTGAGAGCCTCCTCCAAGGGCTCCCCGACCTTGTCCAGGGGGCTCTTGGGACCCGCCCCTGGGCAACGGCTCCTGCTCGCGTAGGCCTTCCCTTGCACTGGCCTGGGCTGCCCGGGGCTCCCCGTCCACTCGCCCAGCAGGAGGGCCCGCGATGGCTCGGCCCACAGCGCCCTGGGGCTCCGTCGCGGCCTGCAGCCCACGTTCTTGCAAGGAGGCCTGGTGGTCTTCAGGTGCAATGCCCATGGGCTGGGCCTTCGACTCCTGGACTAGCTCCCTGGCTTCCTTCTCCACCAGCTCAGCCTGGGTGTCTCCTGCAGGTGAGTCTGGGCTTCAGTATGGCTGCCAGGTAGATTAGTGGACTCTACACCTACATTCAGGGCGCTCTGAGGGCCTAGGACTAAGCTGCGACAACCCCAAAGGTACACGGTTCAAATCCACCTGCTGCTCTGCAGAAGTATGAGCAGTCTCCTCCTACATCGTTTACTGCCTCTGAACACCCACCCGCTAGAGGGTCAGCTGTGCGCAGCTTCTGATTCCACTACCTACAATCCGGTCTCCAGGTGGCTCCACCCAGCATCCTCCCACCTCCCAGGCCCAGCCCTGTCCCTATCTCTGAGCTGTGCCTGACCCCTACTCCAGACTCCACCCCAGTGTCCCTGCCCCTGCCAAGCCGCCCCTGCGTGCCCGCCAGACCCCGCCCCGCACCAGGCCTGGGCCGCTCCTCCTCGTCCTCCTGCCGCTGCTGATGGATCTCCTTGTGCTGCTCCTCGATCACGGCCAGTAGCTTCTCCTGCTGCTCCAGCAGCCGCTTCTGCTGCGCCTGCTGCTCCTGGATCACCTGCAGCAGCACCGCGTGGTCCAGCAGCTCCGCGCGGCCGGCGTCTGTGGAAGGTGGAGGTGTGGGCAGGTCCCCCACCTGGGGCTCCCCACCCCGGTGGCTCTCCCCTCGGGGTAGACGGAGGCTGTGCGCCCGCTGCGCACCACGGCTCTGATGCACGTGCAGGCTGAGTGGCAAAGCTGCACATGGCCACGTGGGCAGCAGGGCTGCTCAGGGACCACTGTGCACTGGCGGGCTTGAAACTTGAAGAGTACCGACAGTGCTCAAGGTGGAGACGCGGGACCGTGCGAGGTAGGGCTGTCTGTTCTGCGGCGCCTCGGCCACCCTCGTCTCCAGACACAAGGCGGAGAGGGGACATTCCTGCTGGGCAGCTGACTCCAGCACCCTGCCCAGTGTCTCTGGTTTAAATCAGAGAGTTTCAGGGTATGGGATTGTCAGGCTCAAAACTAGCAGCTACCCAGCACTGAGACGGGCATCCCCCTGCCAGGCCCCTGGGCATGTGGCCCTCCTCCCCATACTGTAACTGACAGCCACTGGCTTGCACCTCTGGCCAGCAACCACGAGGCGCCCAACAAGGCTAACTAAGGACACCTGATGGCCAGAACAAAGCAGGTGGCAGAGGCGCTTGGTCCTACTCCCTGGGTCTCGGCTGCTGGCCTCCAGCGTGCTCACCCTGGTACTGCAGACCACAGCCAGAGGATGAAGCCCAGAGACCCACATGCTTGATGCCGCTGCCCGCTAGGCTGCCACAGAGTGGGCCTCAGGGCAGGACCCTCCGGGCCTCTCCCGGCGACCAGAGTCCAGGGCCTTCAAGGACTAGTCAGGCCCGAGGGTAGGGCGTGCAAACACGTCCACTGGCTGCACTCACAGCTGGGAGCTCAGTGCCCTGCCCTGCTGGTGTGTCTGAAGCACAACACCCTTCTGAGTCTAGAAGCTTCTACAAGCATGGATGCTCCCATCCCACCCCCGGCATGAGGCAGTCACAGCCTGTGCAGCCCAGCTAAGGATGACCAGATAAAGAGGGTGGGCTTGTGAGGGCTGGGGGCCTCGTGGGGGCCACAGTGGCTCCTCTGTGCCCAGGCAATCTCTCCACCAACCCCCATCCGCCTTGAGGCTGTCCTGGGTTCATACCTGCCACTATCTTTTTAATTTCAGCTGTGCAGTCCCGTTGAAAGCCATAGAGAAGAAAGGCAGATTACGAAACAGGAAAAGGCTCTTTCTCAGAGAGAAAAAAAGTCATCGTCAGACAGGGGTAGACAACAGACTGCAGGAACTGAATACAGCCAGGGTGAAATCTGAGACAGGATGTGTGTATGTGTCCTGGGCCCCTCGACTCTGCTTCCAGCCCTTATGTGAGTGCAGCAGGGCTTTGAAGTGGTTCTTCCTGTCAGTCATGGGTGATGGAGTAAAAGTGGAATGGACTTGAGGTTGTAAAATGTGGGGACACTGGAACAATACTGGAAGGGGAAAAGTTACAGTGGACACACTGCGAAAACGTCCCCTCTTAGAAAACAAGGGTGGTGTGCAGAGTAGCAGATGGTGTAAGTGGCAGTCAGAACCACGGTGGCCACCTCGCACTGGGCGATCTCTCGGCTGTGAGGTGCTCTCCACGGCTCTGGCCAGAAACCAATCTATGGACTCAGGCCCCTTCCAAGTCTCTTACCTGGGGCTTCAACCTCTAATTCTCCCTGTTCGCCCATATTTTACAAGTTCGGGTCTGTTAACAAGTTTGCCGCAGCAGCCATGACTTAACTGCTTCAAACCAGTCGGAAGGCCCAGGCCCAAAGCAGAGGCTGTGGGCTCTCATCGGGGTTCTGCTGAGCTGGGCATGCTAGGACTGGCTGTCCTTGGGCCACAGGGTCCTCTTCTGGGAGGAGAATTCCATGGAAACAGAAAGCCCAAGTCCTTTAGACCCAGGGATGGATGTCACCAACTCCCGCGGGGTTTCCCTAAAAGGCAGGTCCAAAGGCTCAGCTGCCAGAAACCTGCTGCCTGTGGGCAGTGGAAGCCTGGCAGCCTCTACTCATATCCCCAGAGGACGGACAGGCTGTGATGTCAAAACTCGGACAAAATGCCCCGCCCAGTCAAGACCAAGTGGAGCCCAGGGGCCTGGAGAACACTCTGGAACTATTGAGAGCACTGCTATAGGGTGTTCAGCTGCACACCCCAGGGGCCAGGCCGGCTCTAACCTGGCAAATAAGCTGCTGGCCACCAAGAAAAGCAGCATCAGGGACCCAGGTCCTGTGCCCCAGGGTGCAGTGCAGCAGCAGGGACCCAGGTCCTGTGCACGGGGTGCAGTGTAGCAGCAGGGCCCCAGGTCCTGTGCACTGGGGTGCAATGTCATGACATGCACAAGGAGAGAGCTAAGAGCCAGTGGTAACTCCAGACATGAGAGGGTGTAAGGGGCACACAACCTGGTGTGGACAAGTGCACTGCACCCCAGGCTAGGGGTGCAAGTGGACAGCAAAGGCTGAGAGATCAGTGCTGGTCAGCAGGCGACACTGTCCCTGAAACAAGCCCCATCTGGGCCTCGAGCCCTGAGACACCAGGCTGCCTTACATACCAGGAGTGGGACATTATGCACATGACTGCCTCTGGGCAGCGGCGCGAGGGCTGCGGCACTGACAGAGCGCAGGGTTTTCTTAAAGGAGGGGGGATGGAGACTAGTCCTGGGGAGAGAGGTGTGGGACAGCAGGCCGGTGGGGAAGGGGAGGAGCTGTCGAAGGGTACCCCTCAAGAAACAGACCCCAGGGAGCAGCAACCCGGGTGACAAGGAGTTTAGAGCTAGCCAGGTGTGATGCTCAGAGCTGACCCAGGGCCTGGTGGGGTGATGTGCTCAGGCGCCCCCTGTCCTGAGGGACACTCCCCAGAGGTGACATGGGTACACTCAGACCCTCCTCACAGGTGACTGGGGGAGGACCGGGGGGACACTCAGACTCTCTCCAGCAGTGACCAGTGAGTGCCCTGCTCAGACACCCCAGGAAGACGGAGTGGCCAGCCTCACCCTCCAGCTTGTTGCCCCCATGGTCCTCGGGTCCGTCGGCGTGCCTCTGCTCCCGCACCTCCACAGGCAGCCCTGCTTGGGGCTCAGGGCCTTCCACTGGGGGACCGGCCTTCCCACCTGCAGGCATGAGGCCCAGAGGGAACAGTTTACCACAGATAGAAGGTCCCCACCAAGCACAGGGCAGAGCAGGGGAGCAGCAGCCCCTGTGCCATTCAAGACCCCCGTTCTCCTGCCTCCCCCGAGTTCCGACCCGTCGTGCCAGCACTTGAACAGACATGTCACAGCCAGCCTCCAAGGTGCCCACTGCCCACTCGGCCCCAGGGCATGTGGCACTCAGGCAGCCAGACGGACCACGGAGCCCTGCAGACTCCGCTCTCCTGCCCCGCCTCTGCCCCCACCTGACCTGAAAGGGAGAGCTGAGCTGGCAGACGCGGGAGCAGCTCCAGGCCCCCTGGTCTCTCTGCACCTCCACTGACTGACTCCCAAGATCCGTCCCTCACAGGGACGCCCACACGGTAACATCTACCATCTGAAACTCCTGGGGCTACCCCCCCACTGCCCGGCCCCTTGGCTGACACTCACCAGGGCCCCCCTGCAGGGCAGGAGCCTTCCCCAGCTCCTCGGCAGCAGGGCCAGGCGGTGGCACATCGGCTGCCCTCTCCCCACCTCCTGCTGCCTTCAGCTCCTCTTTGAGGGCCGCCGGGGGTCCTGGGGGGCCATTCCTGTCTTGAGCCCCCAGGCCCTCACCATCAGGCTGAACAGCTGGCTGGCCGTTGGCCTGTGGAACATTCTGGAGCACCTCAGGAGGGCCAGCCACATCCTGCAGGACCTTGTCCTGCTCAGGCTCCAGCCGTTGTCCTTTGGAGTCTGGCTTCCGGGCCTCCAGGGCCTCCCCACCTAGGTGCTTGGAGGTGTGCTTGCTTTCCTCTGGGGCCTCCTGGTCTTGGACCTCATCGACCACCACTTTGTCGTGTGGGACGGGGGGTTCGTGACGATGTGCCTCCCCCAAGGGCACAGCAACCCCTGCAAAGACAGGACTGCTGGAACACCTTGTGATGGTCACACATACAGCCTGGTGACACAGTTCAACTGCCACCATCAACTGTTCCACAGCCCTGCTCCCACTGCGCCCAGCACTGCGCCAGTTAGCTCCACAAGCCCACAATACCCAGCCCCACTCCCACTACACCCATGGCCCAGCCCCGCAGCCCAGCCCCGCTCCCACTGCGCCCAGCGCTGCGCCAGTTCAGCTCCACAAGCCCACAGTGCCCAGCCCTGCACCCACTGTGCTCACGGCCCAGCTCCCTGCACCCGTCGTGCCCAGCTCTGCGGTCACCTTGACCAGGACGGTCGAGCTGCGCCTCCTCTGGCTTCTCCTTGCCATCCCCTGGCAGGGGTACCTCCACGGGGCCCTTGATCTGGGCCTGCTCCTCCTCATGCTTCACGCTGGGCTGCTTCGGCTTGCTGCGGGCATCCTCGGCCACCTCCACCAGGGGGTTCTGGGCTGCAGGCATGTTTGGGGTTGAAACTTCCACACAGGAGAGGCCCACCAACCACCACGAGGGTCCCAGCCCGGCGGAAGAGCCCAGCCACCTTGTCACCTGGCTCCATCATTAGCAGATAAGCACAGCTGTCACTTCCCAGGTTACTGATAAGGGCATCAGGATAACTCACACCCAATGTCGTGTGTGTGTGTGTGTGTGTTTGTGTGTGTGTGTGTGTGTTTTATTAATAATTGTATCAGGACGATTCACATCCACACCCAATCTTTGTGTGTTTGTGTTACTGATAATTGTTTTAGTAAAATTCACAACAATCTCTATGCGTGTGTGTGACTGAGAATTTTATCAGGACAATTCACACAGAGAGAGAGTAGCACAAAGCAACGTGTCATTGTGCATCCTTCCCACCAGGTGGCAGCATGGACTTGCTGGTCTTCACATGGGGAAGGGAGACAGACTGACTTTCTTTTTATTTTTTTTAAATTTTATTATTTTTGTGTGCGTGTACTGTCAAATCAGATCTGACTGGTACAGGAGGAGATTGTCCCTCCTTCCCCAGCAGAGCATCTAGTGGATTCGAACCACATACCTCTGGGATTGCAGTGAAGCTTCTTGCCTCTAGACCACCAGAGCTGCCCGGGAAGGGAGACTTTCTAAAGCGCTAAGGGCAAGCCGGGTGGTCACCAGTTGTCACTGCCCCTCCATGGCCAGAAGACAGCCAGGCAAATGTCCTGTGTGCATGTACGTGTGTGCTAGGCGTGTGCTCCTGTGCCCTCGTGTAATACACGTGTTCATGCTCACACACATCAGAGAAGGGAGCCCGTTTAGGAGACAGCAGGGCTGTTAATCTGGGATCCTGCCTGCTTCTTGGACAGGTGGTGAAAATGAACCTCCCAGGACAAGGGAAAACCTGCATAGGTGGGCACTCTGTCCAGTCCAAGTGCCCCGCTCTGGCATTAGGGGGCTGCCCGGCCACTACACATGGTGTCCAGGGCCTCAGTGACACATGATGGCTGCAGCACAGAGTGACCACGAGGCTGCTAGAACCACCTCTCTGAGGGGAAGGTGCTCTCTGCATCAAGCTGGACACAGGAGCCCAGGAGAAATCACAGCCCCTGACCCCGAGGCCCGCATACCTCAAATGAGGCTCAGCGTGGCGGGGCTGGGCAGGGGCAGGGGCAGGGCTACGGTCCAGAGCGAACTCATGCCCAGCACAGGCGTGTGGAGGGCCTGGCGAGGACTCAGCTGGTGAGCCTGGCAGCCCATAACCGCAGGAGGACGAGGACCAGCCTGCCTCAGCCCTGACCCCCGGCCCACAGACAACCATGATGCTGAAGCCCATAGCGCTGACCGACGGGAGCGGTGCCTCGGCAGTGAGTGACCAGCAGACAGAGAGCAGGCATCCCAGGCCCTCACAGCTACACTGGCTGAGCCAGGTGACCCACTCAAATGACTGGAGCTGCCCACCCCGGCCAGTAGCAAGGACCTGTCGCTCCCTGACCCACCCCGTCAGGAACTTCTCTAGAAGACAGCCCGCACACAGGCAGGGTAGTAGATGGCTGTGCCCCTTGCCCAGACTGTGGTCACCACAGCTGCATGTCCACTTTCCCTGCCACACACCACTGGAGCCCTGCCCGGTGCCCCAACTGCACAGCCTGCAGGGGAGCCTCCCCTGACCCCACCCTGGCCCGTGCCAGGGTTCACAGCTTTACACACCAAGATGTAAGGGGATCCCACGGGACACAGCAGCAGGGGGTAGGGGTGCCCACCCAGCACTTTGGGGGCTGCAGTTGTGAGGTGAGCTAGAGGTACCCCATGAGGGCCTGGGAAACAGCACACACAGGTACAAACAGGCAGCGCATAATTGCTGCCTCCGTCAAGGTGAACAGGCGCCAAGCAAGCCTGCTCGAGACCAAACCCCCGTGGGGCAGGGCCCACGCCTCCCACCTGCTGGGGTCCAGGGCTGTGGGCACTGGAACTGTGGCCATGCAGGCTTGGTGTCTGTAGGTAGCTAGTGGGTTCTGGGCACAGGGAAGCCTCAACCCCTTCCCCAGGGCAGAGAACTGGCAGATCCAAGTCTGTACCCCACATGCCCTGTGCCCTGCACACCCAGCATACCTCGTGTACCCCACACCGCACACCTCCCTTGCCTCAGCTGCCCCCGAGCCTAAGCTGAGTCCCCAAGGCCTCAGAGCACGGGGTGAGGGCGGGACATCGCACCTGAGAGCCGGCCCACTTCCACCTTCCCGCCGCTCTCCATCTCTCTGAGCCGGCCACCAGGGGCCTCCTCTGCCAAGTCCACCGGGGAGTCCTCGTGCACAGACAGGGTGGTATGCGTGCTGATGACCAGGATGCCAAGGCCGACCCAGAGCACCACCTGGATAGGAGCAATGGGCAGTTCAGGAGTCTCACTGGACAGGGGCCCCTCAGAAGGGAACGAACATGGACAGACCCCATTCAGAGTGCAAGGGCATCCTGCTGCCAGCACCCCAGTTCCTGCAGTCCCCAGGCTCCCTGGACAGACAGCAGCAGCGCCTGGGAGGACAGCTGGGAGACGTATGACCCCAGGACAGGAGCTGGCTGTCCCCAGCCAGTGAGAAAACAAACAAGGAGAGGCCGCATGCTTGCCGGACTCCACACACATGCAGCCTCGACCGCACGCACAGCCTTTGTGTCCATGTGCGCCACGGAGGGTGTGAGCACACACATTCACACCAGAGTCACCACGGTGTGAGCACACGCGTTCACACCAGACACCACGGAGGGTGTGAGCACACACATTCACACCAGAGTCACCACAGTGTGAGCACA